AGGACTCCCATCCAACCCCCCCCCATTCCCTGACAGCCCCCCTGGGACCCTTGCCCCATCCACCCCTCCCGACTCCCTGACCACCCCCGGAATCCCTGCCCCTGACTGCCCCCCGCCGCCCCATCCAACCCCTCCTCTCATTCCTGACTGCCCCGGGACCTCTGCCCCATCCAACCCCCGTTCCCCTCCTTCTGACCGCCCCGAACCCTATCCACACTCCTGCCCCCTGACCACCACCCTGAACTCCCCTGTCCTCTATCTACCACCACCCCACCGCTCCCTGCCCCCTTACCGCGCTGCCTGGAGCACCAGTGGCTGGCAGCGCGACAGCCATGCCACCCGGCTGGAGCCAGCCACGCCATCGCCACCGCGCAGCACAGAGCACCAGGTCAGGCCGGGCTCTGCAGCTGTGCTGCCCCAGGAGCTCACAGCCCCGCTGCCCAGAGCATTGCGCCGGCGGCAGAGTAAGCTGAGGCTGCGGGGGAGGGGGAACAGCAGGGGAGGGCCGGGGGTAGCCTCCTAGGCCAGGAGCTCAGGGGCCGGGCAGGAGGGTCCCGCGGTGGCCCATGGGTCATAGTTTGCCCACCTCTGCTATAGGAGCTGCATTCAGCTTATTGCAGGGCAGACATACCCAGAGACAGGATATTGGACTGGCTTCTCCACTGGTCTGCTCTTAGGTTCCTTGTTGAATCACTGATCTGATCCAGGCTGGTGATTCCTGTTTTCCCATAAGTGATGTTTCCTTGGAGGGTCTCTCAGCAGGGAAGCCATGGAGACTGGCGGGAGAGCGGTAGGGAAGTTTGCTACTGCCCTTGTTGTATCTGTTCTGTGGCTACAAGGGACGACTCCAGTCTCAAGGGTTGTTAACCCAGCACTAAAGCAACTAACCAAACTTTCCAGCAGGACTAGCTGACCAATCACTTGTGAGCGCAGGGGGAGTCTGTTTGCCCTTTCGGGGTTGTGATTTCTTCCTCCACTCTACTGCTTCTCTGAGGCTGGAGGATTTCACAGCGAGTTCTTTGCACTTGTAGATCAGCCTTCCCACGCTACTGCTCTCAGATAATAAAACCAGCCAACACAGGCGCATTTACGTTCTAACACACTGAAATATTGTAGCCTGATTTAGGGTGTACTGATAATATTAATTTAATTTAATTTAATTAATAATATTAATAGTAATTAATTATTAATATTAATAGTATGGCTTTTAGGCTCGCCAATCTGTTTGCTCAGAAGATAAAAGTTCTTGTCCCAAATCAGGCTCCACAGAATTTATAAAGGACCCGCGGGGGTATGACAGGAAGCTCACACAGATATAGCCTTAAAGACTTTTTATTAAAATCAATAATAGTAAGTAAATGGTAAAATACCCAAAGTGACAACTGCATTACTGCTATTCAAAAGATACAGATGATAATTTAGTATTATATGCAACAAAGCTTTGGTTAATATACTCCCACCCTTCCTTGATAACCTGGGGGTAAGAGACACAGGACCAGCCTTGCAGTTCAGGTTTTTCAATTCTTGAGTGAGGGATGCAGTGCTTAGAAAAAGCTAATGCTACTTAGGGTTTACATGACTAACTTAAACTTAAAATCAGAACCTAATAAACTAAGAATAAAACTTAGGGAAACCAAGCTTAGCCTAGTTCCCTTGAAACTTAAAGTTTAAGAACAAGTACAGCCTACCAATAGTAGCAGTCATCATAAATAGATAGAAGAGAGAGAGAGAGTAGAAATATGATGTAAGTGAGAATGATAGAGCAGAATAAAGTGAGAATGGAGTAAAGTGAGAATACTTTAGTGAGGTGGGTCACCTCTTTTATAGGGCAAAGTGCTGGAAATCCTTCCTCCTATGCCCAAATTTCATTCCTCAACCACAAAATGTTAGGGTACGCTTACCCCATAGACTATTACGTATGTGCGTATGGATCACATGTATGTATGCACTTGAAGTGTACGTGTTAAGTCTGTGGGTACAACATTGAAAAAACGCCTATGCCATTCTCCATTGTCTATTGGTCTAGATAAAAGGGCATGGACATAGGCATGGGTACTCCTCTCTTTAGGTAACAAGATACAGGTCAACTTTGCTTTCTGAGTAAAAGGTCTTAATATAGACATGCTAACTTTTGCCTTAGCTTAACATACAGGATATGGCCTGTAGGTCTCTTGCATTACACAGGTAGGATGTAGATGGTTAAGTATTTATGGGGACAGTTTCAACGTCACGTTTATAAAGATGATGTGGATCGTAATGCATCAGATAGTAGATAATGTTTTCACCCCTCAGCTCATAGAGAGCCGAGAATTATTGCATTTATGACGTATTTCCCATATGCAGAGCCTATAATTTTCTTTTCTAAATGTTGATTTCCTGTGCTGATCATTGTTTAAAGTGATCAGCTGATTACTTTTACGTTGGCTTATTAAATACTTAGGTTATGTTATACGTATTATAAACAGTAAATTGTTTTTTTGTGTGGCTAAGTCCTGGGTTGAGTATAATAGTTCGTTTCCTTTGTGTTTGGTATGTTTTGTTGTACATGCTCAGGCAATTGAGCACGTCCGTGTTGTTTGGTTTCATGGGGTTGTAACGGTTTAGTCCCAAATTTGTGATTTAGGTTTAGTTTTACCCTTAGAGCACCGATAAGGGTGTAGTAAATCAGACATTTCAATGTTTATTTTACGGTTGCAATCTGCTGGGCTCCAGTTGTCATGATTCCATTGGCTGCTGTTTACTTACGTCCTGAAGAGGAAATTGTTCCTGCGACCTGGATGATCTACACCGCTTTAACTGATTGGTATCATAGATTTTGTCTTTAGTACACTTGCCTCCTGTTAGTTTAATTTTATACACTGCTGAACTGAAGGGTCCGAATCATCAGTTACGCAGCCCACGTTCTGGTGATTTACACAATAACAACATTACTTGTTTTTTCCCCTTCCAAGTATTTTCTTTTTGGTTTTGTTAAAATAAGCCTTTGCCTTTTGTTTGGATTTTTCCAATTTAGCTGCTACCTGCAAGTGTATTTGATTTAAATGTTTTTGCAGGTAGGTACCCATTTTTATTTTCTTTAATTGAGTGCCACTGAGGTGCCAAATTAAATGTTTTGGTATTGTTTGGCCTGTCATCACTTCAAAGGGTGTTTTATTAGTAGATGCAGCCGGTGTCGCTCTCAACGCCATTAAAATTAGAGGCATGAGAGTGTCCCAGTTACATTCATTGGCATTAGCCAGTTTTGTTAATATTACTTTTATAGTTTGATTGGTTTGTTTTACCATCCCAGATGACTATGGTCTGTATGGGATGTGTAGTTTTTGTGAGACTTTCATTAATTTAAGACAGTTTCTAAAGAACTGTCTAGTGAAATGTCCTCCTTGGTCCGATTTTACCTTTGCAGGGATCCCCCATAGAGAGAAGACTTGCTTTACTAGGACCTTGGCAGTGGCTTTTGCCGTATTGGCTTTAAGAGGAAATCCCTCTACCCACTTTGAAAAAGGATTGATAACCACTAATAGGTACTGGTTACCTTTTTGAGTCCTTGGCAAAGGACCTACAAAGTCAATCTGCAAAGCCATCCAAAGACCTTCTTATTTCTGAGATTTTAATGGTGCATTTCTTTTGTACAAAGGATCTATTGTTAGTGATCCTTTTTTGTTTTGGAAAGCTTTAGGGTTACTTTTACTATGTTTTTATCCAATTTTTGCATTTTTTTAAATCCGGTCTGAGGTTTACCTTGATGGTAATAACTAGAACCATTAACAAAGAAATGATACCTATTAACAGAATCTGTTTCCTACATTAATGGTTGAAAAAGCTTTTGTTTTTCCTCCCCGCTTAGATCCAATTGATCAAGATTGGGACACACACGTGGCTCTCCTTGATACAGTAGGGCAGTTGGTAACAAGGATGGGGTCCTAATAGATTTTACTACAATATCTTTTCTTGCAGCAATAATGCCCCGTGGGCTAGGTGAGCATTTGAGACTTGCCCATCTTTTACCCTCTTGGACAGTAAGAATGGAAGGGGAGTGTGCGATGAGTATAATATGATTGGACTGAGGCCAATTAGAAAAGAAAAGTGTTGTATGACCCATTTCACAATTGTCATACTTAAGTTCAATTGATGACATTAAACGTGAGGCATAGGCCACAGATTTGATTTTTTTCATGCCTTTCTTGGGACGCCACAGTCGCTAACGCATTAACACTCACCACTACCTCCAGACGATAGGGTACCTCAGGATTTGGAGTGATTAACACCAGAGCCTTGACAATGGCCTGTTTCAGTTGGGACACTGCTTCCGTGTGTTGCTCAGTCCATTTCCATCAGACACCTTTTTTTAATAGTTGGTACAAGGGACCTGCAATGGAAGCAAAATTGGGAATGAAATTCCTGTGGTACCCAGTTAAACCCCCCAAAAAGGATTTTAAAGGGTCCTGTGGTAAAGGCAATGTTTGGATTGCATCTACTTTTTGTTGCGCTGGGGTTCTACCCCATTTTGTCAGGGTGAGATCCAAGAAAGAGACATGGTTGGCCATTCGCTGTGCTGGATTGTACTTTAGCCCTGCTTTCTTTAGGATCTGCAGGATATGTTATTTATAAACAACACAGGTTATTTACATATCAAAACAAATCTCTTGGTTTGGAAAAATTGCAACAGTACCTGCCTTATTTGCACATGGAATAAAACTGGAGAATTTTTATAGCCCTGGGGTAAATGTGTCCAGGAATATTGGACTCCCTGGAAACAAAATGCAAAACGGTACTGTAAAATTCGTGCCAATGGTAATGTTCAAAAGTGGTTACTGATGTCAAGGACAGTAAACCACACAGCCTCTGGATCAAATGACTTGATTAAATTTGGCATCTTGGCCACTCTATGGGCACAAGCAGGTGTGACCTGATTCAGGCATCTGTAATTAATTGTGAGATGCCAAGAATTGTTTTTTTTTAAGGGCCAAATAGGGGAATTGGCAGTAGAAATACATTTACGTAGCACTCCCCATGTCAATAAAGACTGGGTTTGCCTGTTCTGGGTAAGGATATTGTCTTTGGGCTAATATATCTCCTTTTTCTACAACAATAGTGACTGCCATACATCAATTATGTTTGTGTTTAGCAAAGGCATTTGCATGCTTGCGAAGTAAAGCCTGTAACTCTGGTTGGGCTGCATGATTAGCCACTATTTTGTTTAAATCATACCCCTCAGGTTCAGAGTCCTCCACTGGAGATACTATGCCACACTCAGGTCTGATTACCGTTGAGTCATCCTTTGCCTGTTTTACGGTAAGACCCAACAATTGGTCACCCAAATGAAGACCACATTCCTGTTTGTATAGGAAATTAGTTCCCAATAGACAATTCCCTGGGTCTGCTAATTTCATCAATGCAAACGTATGAACCTTTTTTAGATGACCAGTTTGTACTTTAATGGGTATAAGAAGTGTGGTAACAACCTGATTACTTGCAAAAGTTGCAACTGTTTTCGTATGCTTTGTTAACAGAGAAAAGGATCTAGGATCCTTGACATGGATATTACTAATTGTTGCCCCAGTATCTATACTAAAATTCCTGTGGTGGCCCCCTACTACTGCAGATACTGTGGGTCTTCCTCTTGCATCCCTGCCTAAAGGGGCTATGACTACGCTCAGGGCCGACTGGCATTATGCCAAGTAATTTGTAGAGTATGCAGACAAATAGTCTACAGGTTTTCCTTCTGTCTCTCCAGAGGCTGTCCACCGGAGAGAAGGAAATGGGTCAACTGAGGCCACCGGACGGTTCAAGGGTGCCTGGCCTTGGCCTTCCATTATTAGCTTATTCGTGTGGGCTCAGAGTTTCTGGATATCCCATCATTGAGACTCAAGCGTCTGCTTAAACATCATTACAACTGAGTTCTCATTTTTGACTTGGATCTCTGCAGGCGTGAATTGTTTTGTGCGGCATCTGGAAAGAAAGGAACATGGTCCCGGGCCCCTATATGGATTTAAACGCATAACCCTGTCGAGTCCAGGGTTACTATGTGGGTTAGGGTCATTTTGCCAATGCTGGTACTTAGGGAATTTAGGAACACCTTGGCCTAACCCTGGATCCCTTAATCCGGTACATCAGGTGATACCAGCATACACCAAGTGGGTGTAGAGGGTTCACAAAATTCTAGGGACCTAGGCAATGTGGATGATTGCCAAAATGCCAATAAATGTCCACCCAAAGGGGCTAGATCTTCTGATCTATATGGTGCCAATGCATCCCTTGGATGGAGGAGCAGGAATTGCATCCTGTGGTTGTTATATCTTTCTCTGTTGTAACCTAGAGATTACTATATTACAGGCACTAGCTACCATGTCACTTGTTACACCGCATCTTCTAGTCCCTGAACAATCACAGTTTTTAAAGGCACTCCGTTTTTACTATTGGGGTTGACACTAATAGAGGAGAGGATATTTTCTCCCCCTTTGCTTTTCTTATCTTATCCTTTACATGACTAGTCACCTCCTTTAAGATTACACTTAACTCCACCTCCTGTGGTGCCACCTTGAGACTTCCTTTCCTACCTGCAGATTGCTAGTAGCATCTGCACTGCTAACTTTCTCTGTGGCTTCTCAGACTTAATCTCCAATTCCGCTTCTAAAAGTACTGTATTAGCCTGAGCTAACTCTCTCACACTACTTCTAGTAATTGGCCCTGCAGATTTTTTTGTTTCCGTCGGTTCCACCATGCCAATAGGGATGGGAACCCATTTTTTATTCTTCTTTAACACATTTCTTATCTTTTTTAAACTTTTTGATTCTTTCCAACAGCCGACCACTGTCTGATTTATAGTCGTCCAGCGATTTTCAACTGGCATCCAAAGTTTGCTGAGCTTTCCTGAGTAACTCTAAAGCTTTTATTTAATTTCTTTCCCAGCGAACTATAAGCTACGAGCAGACATTTAACGGCTATTCCCTTCACCAGTTTAGCTTTGCTTTTCTTTTCTTTAAATACTTCACTTACAAAACCCCATGGGTTACAATGCTTACATATTATCTCGCTATTCTTAGCTGTTCTAAACCTCCTCCATGTTCCTGAATGTATTTTTTGGCAAAGTTTTTTAAAGCCATACTGCTGGTAACTCCAACAGACTTTACTCTTGCCCTTGCTCCACTCACCTTAACACATAACATAGAACTAATTTGAATTTTAAAGCTTCACTAGCTTATGTAATAAACTATAATGAATGCTCTTCTGTTTTACCCTGTAACTGAAGGGGTCCCTTCACAGAAACAACAGGAAACAATACCCCAAACCGGTTTTACACCTAGTTTAATAAGTCCCAAGTAAATGATAGAGGGGTGGGGGCATGTTCCCCTCTCGGGCTGTAGTCCACGAAAGCTTATGCTCTAATAAATTTGTTAGTCTCTAAGGTGCCACAAGTACTCCTGTTCTCTTCCCTTGATGGCTCGTAGCTGATTGAGAGGTCTTTTCGCTCTGTCGGGACCTGCCAAACAGCTGGGGAACTGAGGCAGACGGATCAGAGGTGCAGCCCGGGAGAGTTGTGGGGACTGAAGAACTATACAAGTTCTGAGTTATTGCAGCCTTTTGGCGGCAAGTAATACATATATTTATCAACTCCCCTGCCACCACTTAGTGTGGATCATTGAGCCCGATGCTACTGTTAATATCTTATTGGTACCATTTGTTACAACTTTAACCTTTAACAAAGCCCCTTAAACGCGCATATCACATTAAATAATATCATTATGTAAATAATAACACTATTACTTGAAATAATATCATTACTTTATCTTGCAAGATTAAATTTCAAAATTTATAAGTAAAACTTAAGTTAAACCACAATACAAAATGGAAATATTGAGCTTGCTGCCAAGCCGCAGCCACAGGAAATGAGGTTCCTGTGTTCTTAAGAATGAGTAAGACACGCTGTCTTGCTCTCTAACTCTCATAAGAACATAAGAACGGCCGTACCGGGTCAGACCAAAAGTCCATCCAGCCCAGTGTCCTCTCTTCCGACAGTGGCCAATGCCAGGTGCCCCAGAGGGAGTGAACCTAACAGGTAATGATCAAGTGATCTCTCTCCTGCCAGCCATCTCTACCCTCTGACAAA